CGGTGGCAGAAGGAAAGAAAAGGAAGGATTATGGTAAGGGGCCGAACCCCACCGGGTATCATGCGAGCAGGCATCCCGTCCACGCGGTACAGTCGTTGCCGGCCCCTCCTCATGGTCGGGAAAGCTATGGTGTGCAAGATGCACCCAAATACTGCGAGTACCACCGTAACAGCACCCATAACACGTCGGAGTGCGTTACGCTGAAGAAGGAGATGGATCAGCTGATCGCTAGAGGGCCGCCTCCTCGGTCAGAGCGACCATCCACAAGTAACCGGACCTGGAGGAGACCGCCAGCCCCCACGGCAGCGATCACAGCAGGAGAGGGGCAAGAAGATTGTGATGACCTAGATGAGGAGTAGAGGCAAGGTCGCCGACACCTGGGGTGTCGGTTCATCATGGGAGGAAACACTGGAGGAGATTCGGTATCCTCCCGGAAGAAGTGGAAAAACATGGTGTACCTGGCCGAGGTACAAAGGCCACCGCTGCCTAAGCGAAAGAAGAAGGAACCTCTGATCTCAACCTCAGTCCTCACAAGGACGCTCTGGTGATAAGAGTGGAGATCAATAATGTGGTTGTTCACCGAACCTTGGTCGATACGGGCAGCTCGGTCAACGTAATGTACAACAACACCTTTAAGGAGTTGGGATTGTCCCGAAGCGACCTGAAGCCAATCCATACGCCGCTGTCAGGATTTACAGGGGATACTATCGACGCAGAAGGAACTATCACGGTGAAGGCCGGGGTAGGAGATGGCACCCACCGACTCTGGGTCGACATGGAATTTATGGTAGTACAGCTCGACTGTGCACACCATCTGATTCTGGGACGACCAGGGTTGGAGGACCTGGAGTGCGTAATCTCCCCCGTCCACTTATGCCTAAAGTTCAACACTCCCACAGGGGTGGGGGTAGCAAAGGGGAACCAGAGCCTGTCACGGTCGTGCTACGCCAGGGCGACCAAAAGCCAAGCCCGAGTCGACGAGAATGTGAGCACGATCTGTGCGGCGATCCAGAAGGAGGAGGGGCGACCCCGAGCTGAGCCAGCGGAAGAGGTCGAGGAAGTTTCTTTGAACCCGGTTGAGCCAGAGCGGAAGGTGAAGGTAGGCAAGACCTTACCGCTTGAATTAAAGGAGCAGTTATTGGAGGTCCTCCGAGCATTCAAGGTGCTATTCGCTTGGGGACCAGAGGATATGCCAGGGGTCGACCCAAAAATTATCTGCCATAGGTTGGATGTGGATCCGACCCACAAGCCGGTCAAACAGAAGAAGCGTTTCCTTTCCTCAGAACGGAGAGAGTTTGTCACCAAGCAGGTGACCACCCTGCAATCCATTGGTTGGCAAATGTAGTCCTCGCACCCAAAGGGAATACCTGGCGGATGTGCGTCGATTACACTGATCTAAATAAAGCTTGCCCGATGGATCCTTTTCCTCTCCCCAACATTGATCAGTTGGTTGATGAGACGGCAGAATGTGAGCTGATGAGTTTCATGGACGCATTCAGTGGCTACCATCAGATCAAGATGGAAGTGGCGGATGAAGAAAAGACCGTTTTCATCACCCCCAATGGGGTATACTATTACAAGGTGATGCCTTTTGGTTTGAAGAATGCTGGGGCGACCTATGCAAGGATGGTGAACAAGCTGTTCGCGCCGGTACTAGGGGGGTGTATGGAAGCGTATGTGGACGACATGATTGTCAAGTCCAAACGGACGGAGTCTCATGCTGGCGACCTGGAGAGAGTATTCAAGATCATGAAGAAGTTCCATCTTCGCCTTAACCCCAAGAAATGCACATTTGGGGTGCAGGGGGGTAAATTCCTAGGACATATGGTCAGCCGGAGAGGGATCGAGCCTAACCCGGAAAAGGTAAAGGCGATTTTGGAGATGGAGCCTCCGCGAAATGTAAAGGAGGTCCAGCAGCTCACCGGCAGGATTGCTGCTCTCTGTCGTTTCTTGTCAAAGATAGCTGATCGAGCGGCTCCTTTCTTTCAGACCATTAAGAAGAGTAGAGGGTTCGTTTGGACCGAGGAATGTCAACGGTCTTTTGAGGGGTTAAAAGCATATCTCCTCTCCCCACTAGTGCTTTCGAAGCCAGAGCCCGGAGAGACTTTGTTCCTATACTTAGGAATCTCTCCTCGAGCTGTGAGCTCGGTGCTTGTGAGGGAGGAGGAGGGCGCGCAGCGACCTGTGTACTATGTGGCCCGAGTGCTGCGAGGGGCGGAGTTGAGATATACCAACATGGAGAAGACCATCTTTGCGGTAGTATGTACGGTGAAAAAGCTCACCCCATATTTTCAAGCCCATCTGGTCCATGTGTTATCACAAATTCCCATCGGAACGCTTCTTCGAAGCCCAAATGCCCCGTCACAGGTCAACAAGTGGGGAGTGTTCCTGGGATCCTTTCAAATAGAGTTCAAGCCGCGACCGGCGAGAAAGGGGCAAGCATTAGCAGATTTCGTGGTAGAATGCATTGCGAGGGAGGTAGAATCTAGTGGAGAAGAACCCGAGGGGAATTGGTGGACCGTGTACACCGATGGGTCGTCCGCGACTGATGCTTCGGGGGGAGGTGTCGTGGCGATATCTCCGGAAGGGTTCAAGGCATACTACTCCGTGAGATTCCGGTTTAAAGTCTCAAACAATGAGGCTGAATATGAGGCACTGCTTTGCGGCTTGAGGTTGGCAGCCTCATTAAAAGCTGAGCGAATCCAAGTCNTATGCGCACTCATGCTCCAGGAGGGGTAAGTGCTCATCTTGAAAGCTCTCCCAGGCCATACATTGCAGGGAATGGAGGGGGCATGGAGCATCCCAGTCAATCCGCCCGTCAGGCAGGCGGTTGGCGGAGAGGGCCTCGTACGCCTCACTAAAGTCTTCATAAGGGTTTGGAGGTGGTGGCGGCGGTTTCACCGACGGCCACTGCCGGCGAGGCAACCGGTGACAGAATTCGTAAGGGTCAAGCCCCCCCCAGTCATTGGAATTGACTGACTTGGGGGAGGAGGCAGGCTCCGGCGAAGAAGGAGCCGGCCCGTCGGAAAGATCTAGAGAAACAGGAATTCCTTCAGACATGGCAAGAATGGAGAAAAGGAGGATATTTGGTGATGGAGCAGAGTAGAGGCCAGGGGGCTTATAAATAAGCCAGGGCGAAGGAACCGAAGAGGCGGTGAAGTCTCGAGGCAGCCGAACCAATAAAGCAGCCTTGAGCCGCGCGAAGGTCCAATCAGAAACGGTGAAGGGCATTGGATCAATTGGGCAGCACGATGGCCAATCCAGAGATTGAGCCCGGACAGGTAAACGGGCCGGGACTAGGAGTTGGGCCCAAACTAAAACATACATGTTAACCAGCTAAATCAAAAAAGAGAGTGCTGAAGTAAAGCGCCAAAGAGAGAAAGCACATGGTGAATCTAGAAAATCAAACAACATAGGAGCATTGTATCAAAACGACAAATCATTCCGAAGGAAAAGAAAGAGGCAAGTGTTGGTAAAGCTATGGGGGAACAATGGGGAATTTAGACGGCCGAGCCGGAAGGTCCACCCGCTTTGGACATGGCTAAGCTGGCCCCTGGATTCTGGTCGCTCTGACCACCTTCCACTTCTTCTTCTTCCTCTTCTTCCGACGCGCTCGAGCTCCCCCCGTCCATATAGGGACTGGGGTTGAACTTGGCCAAGGAGCGGCAGGGAGGAGGGAAGCCAAGGTCGGGGAGAGAGAATCCTTTAGGGAGCTGGGCCAGCCTGTCGTGGAAGACCTGTTGGGCATGGAAGAGTCCGCAATTGAAGGACTTGGTTCCCTCCTTGACCATCCATTGAGCCCCAGGTTCAGTTTTGAGCCAAGCGGCCGTTAGCTCTTCCATCCGCTCCATCGCGACTACCGTGAAGTCAGGAGAGGACTTGAAGGATTCGACCGCTCCCTCTGCATGGCGGACCCGATCGCTCCTCTCCACCTCCAACTGCTGGATCAGGTCATATTTCTCCCCTTCCAGCTCGACCACTCGAGCAGAAACAGATTCTACCTCCAAGGACAAGGAGGCCTTGTCTGCCTCAAGGGCGACGCAGCGGTTCTCCTGGGAAGCTTTCTCCACAGCAAGCGCCGCGCAGCGATCTTCTTTCTCCTCCAACTCCCTGGTGAATCGAGCGATCTCCTCCTGCAGCTCCTTCTGCTTGGCCTCGGCTGCTTTCATCGCCTCGTCCGCGGCGGCCTGGCGACCCCGTTTCCGGCCGACCACCTCAATCATCCCCAGCGTAGCCTGCGCAAAGGGGTGAGGGTTAGGGGCCTAAAGAAAAGGAGTGATGCATAGGAGATCAAGACCAGTACCTGACTGAGCCTCAAAAGGACCATGTTGTCAAGGTCATCCTCGGAGCCTGCCGAGATACGAGCCTGGTCTTCTGCAGGCAGAGTGATAAGAGTCTCCAGCTGTACGTCCCCTAGGCTTTGGGGCAGGGGAGGGATGCAGAGCCTCGTCGAGCGACCCCCGGTCTCCACCTCGTAGGTCACTGCGGGTGGTGATGGAGGTCGCTCCAAGGCAATGCCCCGAGACGACCCAGCGAGTTCGCCACCCTGCATCACGGGGTGTGGAGAGGATTGGCCAGCCATGGTACCCGGTTCCTGGGTAGCATCTTCTTGGTCCTCCACCACAATTACGGCCGGCGCTCGAGAAGGACCCTCCTCGTGGTGGGATGAAGAACGTTTGCCCTGGCCCTTCGTCTCTCTCTTCCTTTTCCTCCCTGTAGTGAAGCGACTGAGCAGGAGATCGCTGTCCATCTCCTCTCCAGAATCTTGTAATTCCACTGGAAACAAAGGAAATGGTCAGCCTTGGGAAAAGATAAACTAAACATCTGGGCAAGAGAAAAGGTCACCTACCAAAAGGACCACAGTCAAGACCTTCCTCAGGAATGTCCTTCAGCTGGTCAGGCTGATGCCCCCCGGGGATGTCCCTCAGTAGGTCGGGTTGGTGGCGAAGCTCATCCTGGATAAACTCGAACCCCAACCCGGCAAGGGTTTCCTCTGTCACCACCTCTTTGATGTTCATAACTCCCTTATTGCAGAATTGGCGAGTGATAGACAAAAGGGTGGCATCAGGTGGGGGGCGTGGGATGCGACGGAAGGAAGGGCGCCCTGAACCCGTGAAAGGAGATTCGGGCCCCGTCGAAACGAAGACAAAGAAAGGCTTCCAGTCTTTGGTTGACCCCTTCTTATCACTAGCAAAGAGTTTACTGGACCTCTGGGAAAGACTGACATAGGACGCCCAATCTTTATGGCCCTTGGTCAGTTTGAAGGTGAATATGAAATGGTCCAAGGTCGGCTTCACCCCTACATCTTTGCACCGGACCAGGTAACGGCGATATACCGGTGAGAGTTGGGGACCAGTTGGCACGGGAGAAGGTCCACCACGTTGAGGAATTCGATCAACAACGGGTGGAGTGGGAAGCGCAGCCCCTTCTTCAAAGACGCCAGATGGACCGTGAAGAACCCCGATGGTGCGTCTAGAGCAGTTTGAGTACTGGTAGGTCTCATGACCTCGATGGAGGGTCCAACCATGTCAGTGGCATCGGCGAACCCCCGGTCAGTAATTTGACAATGGCACAACGCCATGATGTTTTCGTCTAATTTAACCCTTGAGCCCTCATCTACCGGAGTTGAGGAAGGGTATTGCTTCCTCAATCGACGCCGTTTGTGGCCAGGCATGGCCGACGGCGACGGCCGGGGTGATGGAGTGTGGCTGGGGTTATGGTCAGAGGCCGATTGACCGGCTTGGCGAGAATTGGACGATGGGGTAGCCAAATCGGAATCTGAGACAATCATAGCGGCGAGAGAAGGAACTGACCTGGACAGGAAGAAGAACGAGTCGGGTGAGCAGCGGAGTTGCAGACGAACGGTGGTGAAGAAGGCGAAAGGAAGAGATGGCGTCCAGCGCCAGTTTCTAACTGACAACAGGAAGGCGAATCGGCAGGCCATGATTACTTATTTGTGGAGATCGTGCCCAAGTGTCGTGCGGAACCCAAGGAACGGCCCGGACCCCCGCTGGAGCGTCGACGTGGACTTTGCAAACTCCCCACTCCTCCGCTTGGCCCAGCTGAGGACTGAGGAGTTGGGGGGCTTATGATGGGCCGATATCCAGAGGACGGTCCAAATGAACCATTTAAACAACTTCGGGTCAAGCACCTGTGAAATACTCAAGCTGGGCCGGCCCAAGGAGCTGGGCCTAGTTAACCTCAGGCCAAGCGCAGCTGGCAGAGTCAGTCCGGAGAAGGAGACGGAGCTGATTGACCGTTACGGAGACGGGAAAAGGGGATCGCGCCCTTGGCGGGCTAGACTCCATCGGTTATGCTTCACCTTAATTGTTTAGAGCTAATGTATAAATAGAGGGGACCCGAAAGGGGAGAACTCAAGCTAAATCAAGCTAGTAATACACATCCAATTCTCGAATTCTTGTTCTTAATTTTGTTCTTACGATCCGCCTTGTAAACCGGATCATTTGGTGGGTTTATTGTCCATCAATGAGTTATCAAATCATATGATTTTTATTTTTAATAATGCATCAGGCAAGAGCTGGCAAATTGGTGGCTCGGTGGGTCAGGTCGGGTTTGGGTTTAGTCACATCGGATTTGGATTATTTTGGATTCGGGTTGAGAATTTTATGTTCATGACTTAGTGTGGGTTGACCCAACGGGTTATTATTTTGATTTTTAAAATTTTTAAATTTAAATTAACACTTGCATTTTGTATTAAATAAATTTAAAAAATTAATATATTAGATTATTTTATTTTAAATTTTGAAGTAACTTTTAGATATATAAACCAATATAAGGAAGTGAAAAAATGCATAAGTTTCAGAAAAAAAGTAATATAATTATGCAATATCATTAAAATTTGTCTGAAAATGTAAACTTATACACTAAAAACGAGTAGTAAAACATAATTATCCTCGTCCGTGAGTTTGTCTGAAAATATAAAACTTATACACTAAGAACGTTTAATGCTTTGGCATTTAACGACATTTTCTTTTTATCCTCGGCCATGAGTTTTTCCTTGGGTGTGGGAACTTGTGTTTCACCTACAGTGGTCATAGGAATAAACGGGCCATTAGCAGTAACAATCCATAAGTCAAAATCGATGGATTGAATGAAATTCTCCATTCGCATATTCCAATAACCGTAGTTATCACCATTGAAGAATGGTGGCTTGGTGATGCTTTGGGAATTCATGGAATCCATGTGTCGTGTAAGTGGTTTTCAAAAAGTGATTTTGAAAAAGAAAGAAAATCCTGCTCCGATACCAATTGAAAGTCGGTTTACACCCTAAGAGGGGGGTGAGTTAGGGTGTTTGAAAGTTTTTCGTAAAAACAAAAACTTAAGTGCAAAGTAGTAGTGGAAAAGGAGCAAGAAAAATATAAAAAAGAAAAGTACGACACAATCGATTTTATACTGATTTGGGAACTCTCTACTCCAGTACCTCGAGACTCCTTCTCAAGGATTTAACCTCCACTAACTTGTTTGGCTTCACTAAGAAGATCCAAACGAGGTTTGACAAACAACCCTTGCCAATAAGCAACCAGATGGATTCTGATGGATTTTTTTGGATTCTGAAAATCTGTAGGTATTCAATTCGGATTTTTTAAAATCATTTAAAATCTCGATGTATTCAATTCAGATTTTAAAAAATCCTTCTAACTATCATGGTATTCAAAAATTGATGGATTTTTAAGGATTTTTAATAATGTTGATTTTGATGGATTTTCATGCCTTACTTATAAATACAAATCTATATTTCAAATCCAACCAACAGCCCCAAGATTTTGCCCACTCCTCTTCTTCCGCAGGACGATGTCGTTTCTCTTCTTTGATTTGTCGGCGGCACCAACACACACATCCATGGTTCATGTCCATTAGCCCTTAAGTCTTGGATTCCTCATCATAATCCATGGTTCAAGTCGGCGGCACCAACACATACATCCATGATTGCAGATTTCCAGTTTTTTTTGTTTTTGCAGATGCACAGTCGAAAAGGAAGAAGGCCAGGGGATGAGGAATCAGATTAAAAAATTATGGACTTTTTAAAATCTTAAAAATCTTGATTGAAATCTTAAAAATCTTTATGGAATTACAATAATCTATAAATTCTACGAAATCCATTGATTCTAAAAAAATCTTTAAAGGCTATCTTCAATCTTACAAAGTGGATTTAAAGGCTATCCACACCTTTTACAAAATAAAGGTGTTATGAAAACCGGACCGGACCGGCCGGTCTAACCGGTTAGATGTTAAAACCCCGTTTGTTATTGACCCGTTGAAACCCGGGGAAACCGGCAAACAGTGACCCGGACCGGCCCAGTGGGTTCACGGGTTCAGACCAAAATTAACCTTTCTACTTAACTATATAATAAAAAATGGTTAAGTCAGCAGGTTTCGAACCCAGACATTAAGGACTGGTTAGAAGACAACATCCACTTGTGCAACTGCCACTTTTGTTTACGAATCATGCATTACTTAATATATTACTCCGTACCTACAAATATGTAGAGAAAGAACTTCATAATCAATTTTATATATCATTTAAAAGACTTCAAATGATTAAAAAAAGAACTATGTTGATATAATATATTTATTTTATCAAGTTTAAAACTAGATCAAAGTTAAAAACAATTAGTATTATTTATTTTCTATCTTTAGAAAATATAACGAATCAATACTTAAAACAATATTTTTATCTTTAAAATATTAAATATACTTTAATATGCTACATTTCATTTTGAATGAACTAAATATAAACTTTATAATGTCAATAATATCGAAGAATACATTATCTAGTCTTTATTTATTTTTGAAAATATGAGTATTGTTTTTACTATTTAAGTATTTATTAGACATTTATTCTGAACATTTAATAAAAATAGATACTATTAAATTTTATATTCACAATGATACTAAAATTTAGAAGGGGAATTCAAAAAAATACAAACTAAAATACTTTTATTAATTAAAAAATCTAATAATATAATATAAAAAATAAGTATATTAATTATATTTGACCAATTCGTTGACTTCCGGGTTGACCGGTCGGCCCTTGACCCACACCCTCGTCCGGGTCGACGGCCGGTCCGGTTTTCAAAACATTGCAAAATAATGAAAAGAGTTTGTTGCTTCTCTATCAAGATAATATATAATGTGATTAGGTAGGAGAAGAACAAGATATAAAAACAACAACAATTGCCTATAAGCAAGATAAGAAGATGAAACACAAAAGCCCTTGGTGTGTGTGTTGAAAATATGAATATCAAAGCTTTAAACTTAAAAGAGAACAAAAAATCAGGAACTTTGAAGCTTTGAACACACAAATGATCAAGAATGAGATTATAGAATGTAATGTATGTTGAAGGGTGTGGTTGTGTGTTTAGGAGAGTCTTAGGAGGTGTATTTATAGTGTTTATGAGGTTTAAAATAGGTTTGAACGGTTAAAGAGACGTTGGGAGACAAATTAGGTTGATTGGGATTAATTAAATCAATCAGTAACAGTAACCCAACGGCTCCGGTGTTGACTAATTATCGAATAGGATTAGGATTACCCGAGATGTTCTAGTTCTAGTAGGAATAAAATTATGGGTTATAGGTTTAATTAGCTCTATATATATCTTAGACAAGCTTGGGTTATGATATGAGAAACATATGAGAGTTTATTGTAATTGGTTTTGAGTTATTTTCCAGTTATAATAAAGAGATTGTTTCCAACAATTGGTATCGGAGCTAAATAAATAAATAAAAAAGAAGGGGAAAAGCTACTGTTCTCGATTGGAGCTTTAAGAAAGAAAAATCGTGCAGGTGTAGGTCTGGTTTGAGTTGCTGTCAATTCTCGTCCCGATCGGAATTGCAGCACGCCGTGTCGACTTCCAGATCGCCGCCTCCATCCTCGTCTGGGTCGCGGTACGAAGAAGTCGCCACAGCCCAGGTCTCGCCACCGCCTCCGCTGCAGAACAGTCGCCGTCCAATTGGTGCTGCCGTGCAGATCTATCCGCCGGAAAAAAAAGAGACAAAAGCAAAAAAAAGGATTGGACGTAAGGTTTAATCTAATTTGCTTTAAACTCAAGTGCTGGATCCTGTTACACCACTCGTGACATACAGTAGACGCAAGAAAAATATGACAGAATCTGAGACACCACAGCCGAAGGTTAAGGGAGTTGGGCTTACAACTGTCCAATGTCCCATGCTAAATGCTACGAACTACACCGTATGGGCCATGAGAATGAAAGTCGTATTAAGGGTTGATAAGGTGTGGGAAACGATTGAACCAGGCGCAGCTGATACCGAGAAGAATGATATGGCAACGACATTGTTGTTTCAATCAATTCGAGAAAATCTGATATTGCAAGTAGGCAATGAGGAGACTGCAAAGGATCTGTGGGATGCAATCAAAACTCGTCACTTTGGGGCTGAGAGGGTTAGAGAAGCTCGTCTCCAAACCCTAAATGCAGAATTTGATAATTTGAAGATGCATTATTCAGAGTCAATTGATGATTTTGCTGAAAAGTTATCAAGTTTGGCCTCAAAATCCGCGGCCCTTGGAGAAGAGATCGAAGAAAAAAAGATGGTTAAGAAGTTTCTAAATTCTCTTCCTCGTTCGAAATACATCCATATAGTCGCCTCGTTGGAGCAAGTTCTAGATTTGAATAAGCTAGAATTTCAAGAAACCATAGGCCGGTTGAAAGCCTACGAAGAGCGAATCAAGGAAGAGGATATAGAAACACAAAGTAAACTATTGTTCTCCAATGGTGAGAGCTCTCATTCTCAAAGGGGAGAAAACGGATCGAGAGGACAAAGCCGATGCAACCAAGGTTGAGGAAGAGACCAAGACCAGGATGATGATGACCAAGATGGAAGTCAATGCCGAGATGGTCAAGATCATGGGTCAAAGCGAACGGGTCAAAGAAGAACCAATGATCGTCAGAAGGGAAGAAAGGATAGATCAAAGGTTCAGTGTTTTCGATGTCATAAATTCGGTCACTTTGCATCAGTGTGCCCGGAGCGTACGAAGAAACAAGAGGAAGCTAATTTAGCTGAAATTGATGTTCTGGATCCATCTTTGTTCATGATGAGATCTGATCAAGAGAATGTCTTTTTAAATGAAGAAGGGGTGATTCCAAAGCGTTTCGAGGTTGAACCAAAGGAGAAAGACATTTGGTATCTCGACAACGGAGCATCGAATCACATGACGGGTAATCAAGCTTAATTCTTTGAACTTAATGAATGTGTCAAGGGAAAGGTGAAGTTTGGAGATGGATCTTGTATTGACATACGAGGAAAGGGATCTGTATTACTTGAAGGGAAAATAGGGGAGAAGCTCCTGTTGACCGATGTGTACTACATACCCAGCCTACAAAGCAACATCATAAGCCTTGGTCAAGCAACGGAAGGTGGATGCGACATTCACATGAAGTGCGATTTGCTAACCATTCATGATGACACGGGGAAGCTTATGATGAAGGTGACGAGGACTAAGAATTGTTTGTACAAGATCAATCTCAAGATAGCAAGTCCCAGTACACAAGTTAGCATGATTGGAATGAAGAATTTTGTGGGTAGGGATCTACAAAGAGTTGATCAACTGAAAGAAGGTACGCGACGTACGAGTCAGAATCTTCTCGAAGATCCAAGTTTAATGGAGAAACCCAAAATTCAAAGTCCAAAGAAGAATGTTCAAGAGTTTAAAGGAGATGTCAAGAAAAGGATTCTAACCTAAGGAAGGACGAGTAATGATCGCAAGGAGCAAGTGTTTGTTCAAGCTAAGTGGAGCCTGAAGAACACTGCAAGGGATCATGAAGAGCCTCGGGAGAATCAAGATAAAGAAGACATGCTTGGAGTTGAAGATCACCCGGAATCCAACTCGAAAATTAGGGGGGTGATTGTTGACTAATTATCGAGTAGGATTAGGATTACCCGAGATGTTCTAGTTCTAGTAGGAATAGAATTATGGGTTATAGGTTTAACTAGCTCTATATATATCTTAGCCAAGCTTGGGTTATGATATGAGAAACATATGAGAGTTTATTGTAATTGGTTTTGAGTTATTTTCTAGTTATAATAAAGAGATTGTTTCCAACATCCGGTACCTGTAACGGTAGTCCAGTACCGTGACGGTAGGGGGTACCGTTACTGACGGTATAAGGTACCGTGACAGGTCCTGTTCAAAGGTTCAAACTTGGGTTTCCTAAGCCTCAGGCGGTACCCGGGTACCGTTACAACGGTAGGGGATACTGTTTCAGTGGATTTTGGCCTGTGCTAGGTATCAAACGTTCGGTACCTACTAAAGGTTACGGCAAGGGGTAGAGGCATAGTTCATTCCGGGCTGAGCCAAGGTTCTAACGGTCGGTACCTACTTATGGTTACGGTAGGGGGTACCGCCATAGTTCATTTCGGGCTGAGCTAAGCTTCAAACGGTCGGTACCTACCTTGTGCTACGGTAGGGGGTACCGGTTGAGTCCTTTGTCACTTAGCCATAATTTGGCTGGGCGGTACCTACCTGATGTACCGTGTAGCCTAACGGTATCAAGGTACCGTTGGAACGGTAGGTGTTAAAATAAGTGCCCTTCACTAGAGGGGGGTGAATAGTGAGGCACGAGAATGTTTACAAATTTTCGCGGAATAAAAATCGCAGAGATAAAGTAAAGAGCGGAATAAAAAGGAGTAAAGGGAGCACACCAAGATTTATACTGGTTCACCACAACGTGTGGCTAGTCCAGTTTCCCTAGAGACTCTCTCGAGCTACACTACTTCCATTAAGCTTACGGGTGCTTAACAAACCGTTACAACCTGAGAACTCGAGCCCCACGAGCCTCAATACACTTGCTCGGAGATACCGCACTCCAAGACTTCAACCCGAAAGAAATACCTTTCCTTCGTACAACAAAGGGAAACAAGCTTCCCTAAACGTGTTTACAACACTAAGAACACTCAAGAACAACAAGACTCTCTTTAAGAGTAGATGTTGAGTAAACTATATACGCCCAAGAAGAACTCAAACTTCACAAATTGGCTCTAGAAAGTTATGGAAAATAATATTGTTTCGATGCAATGATGATATGTGTAATGTGAAGTGAATTGGTGTGTAAATCAGACCCAAACACCCCTTTTATAGTGCCAAAGTAGGCTCTAACGAATCAAAACATTTAAGGGATGATTCGAATGATTTGTGGGATTGATATTAAAGTGGATCTGCAGGAAATTAGCTTACCCAGCGATGTATGGAAATTCCCATAACTGGTAGGCCATTTTTTCTTCAGTTTTAAAGACAACGGTCACCTACCAATGGATGGGTAAGAACTTCACATCGCTGGGAAGGAGGTTGACTTTCAAAAAAGGAAAGAATCAGGCTTAACTGCCTTGCAACGGTCATGCCTAACTAGCGATGGGTAAGCCCTCCCATCGCTGGGTTCCCATCGATGGGTAAAGGTTCCCATCGCTAGGTAAGGGCATTCTGCCTTGTGATTATATTGGACGGGAGGGGTGAAGCTAGATGCTTCAGTATGAACATTGACATGTTCATTGTTGTTGCCTTGTCCGTGGGCAGATTCTTGACTCATTCAACAATAACAGAAATTCCTTCATTAGGATTCTTTTATTCAGTAGTTGAGTTTAAGACAGGAATTGCAAAGGATTACAACAGTCGATACAATCAATGGATTTGAAACAAACAACAAGAAAATTTCTAAACGTTTGCATTCGATTGGTAGGATTGTGGCGAATCTACAGATGAATCTTCATTGCCCGACCCACATACGCTATTGGCAGAGTCTACGTTGAATGTCTCTTCTGGGTCATCTCATTCCCATGCAGCCTTGCGGCGCAGATAAATCCTTTGTTTCATTATTTTCGCAAAGCGATGGGCACGTTGATAACGTACCAGCGAGTCATATACATTTCGTTTGTTCTTTCGTCTTTTACCATGTACGAAAGTGCGACTTGAATCAATACTTGATATCATTTCTGAATTAACAGTTGACATCTATAAAGATTTAATACAGTTAGATTCAATACTTAATTTTTATTACCCTCCTGGAGCAGAGGGATGCGAGAGTTGTGGATTTGATTGATTTTTTTAGCCCATATATATATATATATATATATATATATATATATATATATATATATATATATATATATATATATATATATATATATATATATATATATATATATATATATATATATATATATATATATATATATATATATCATGTATATAAATATATATTTTTTAAAACAAATTTTTGATTCGAAGATCGGTTTTAAAACCATTTGCTCTGATACCAAAATTGTAACACCTCAATCCGTCCAGGTCTGCAGCCCCTTTCGGTCTAAAGTATAAACTTGGTATTCGTAAATATTCAAAAGATTTCAAGCATTTTAAAACTTTATTTTACAATAAATTATTCAGAATAATAACAGAGTAGTTAATGTTGCGGAAGCTAAATAAATAAAAATTACAAAACATAATAATATTATGTCTTTTTAAACTTAAATTCATTTTACACATCCACTTTGACCATCTCGCTCCGTCTGCCGCCAGGATTCCATCACATCATTCTTTTTGTTAACCTGCGTGTAGCAAATTAAACATACTACACGCTCAGCGTTGAAGCTGAGTAAGCATATCTAATGCATTGAACATTCATATAAATTGAATCTCAATTCATAATTAACCATTTGATATCATGCACACAATACATATTTCAAGCTTACATTATTCGTGATATTCGCAATATTTTATTTTAAGTCATTTCATGATATATTCAATATTCAAAATATTTCATCAGTGCTCTTAAATTATTCTTAATCTAAGGCCAAATCATTTTTATACAAGCTCTTAGCTATTCCTAGTCTAAGACAATATTTCTAACCAGGCCCTTAAACTATAAATAGTTTAATGCAGAACACAAGAATCGATAATCCACCCTATGAGTCACGTGAATTACGTACCAAACCGAACAGTGATCTGTCGGGTGGGTGATATCCTGTCTGGATCCCGTACGTACGTTTTAACCCCGAATTTTGAATTGGTCAAGGAGGTATATCATAGAGTTCTTCTAGATATCCTTAATAATCATCATCAATTTTCCAAGTGGGTATATCTTAGAGTTCTTGTAGATATCCTTAACAATACACATCATTTTCATAATCATTAATATATTCATTTTTAATCACGACTCAATCATTTATAATTATTATTTTAATAAGAATATTCATCAAAGTCGATCATAAACAACATCAATAATAATCATCACAATATTCCATAACAAATAGCGGTCTAGCATCGAGTGTTAACACCTTAGCTTACTGTCATACATCACATAAAATTTTATTTGTCAAAACATCATTTTTATTTCATAAAATTTTATTTGTCAAAATATCATTTTTATTTTTAACAATTATTTTTATATTGATCATAATTGATTGGTATAAAAAAAATAGGATTTTATAGCTTCAAAAATAGCATCTTTGGACTTAAAAATGTTCGTAACGGTCGACCGTTGGGTTTGAACGGTCGTCCGTTCCGTTGGAAAATGTAGGAAGATGAAGGGTTACTATTCATCATCTTCAACCTCCAACCCATTTTTCTCAAACTCCATTTTTGGTCACCAAACTTCAATTAAACTATATAGAAATGTTCTCCAAGGTTCGAAGATCATTTTAGAGGCATCAATTTAAAGTTTTAACAACAAATTCAAGGTTTATGATTCTTGATTCCTCAAATATGTCAAACACAAAACTCAACCAAACGACCATTTATGAACATAGAAACGATCTATACGAACATTCTAGTCACTAGATATATCTACGGGCTTACTTCAAAGTGAAACGATGATTCCGACGGAAAAACGGCGAACACCACGGCTTGCTCTGGCGACGGGGAGCTCTCTAGACAACACTACTTTGCTCTCTATGCTCACAGCTTTCTAATGGAGGAAGAATGGTGGAGAATGGTAAGGATTTGGGAAGTTTATATAATGGAAGGGAGAAGACCAAGACAATGGAGTTTCGTCATTCTCGATCGTGGGAGGGCGGCTCTGTTATTCTCATGACTTTTCCCTGATTGGGACTAATTTGGTCCCAATCGGGGTACACTTTTTGGTCCAACTTTCTCCGAATTGAATTCCGTTTGCACCGTTGCGATCGAGCAGTTAAACTCTATTCAACGATATACTTTTTATATTTATTTGAAATACTTTTTCTGACAGCATATTTTTGGGTGTTGACTTTGACAGAGTCAAAATTGAATTAATTGATATGTAACTAAAATTAGTCTCATATTCAATCAATATTATTAAATGTAAATATTTATGTCAATAAATCATTTTACAAAAAGTTCACATCTTTGACTTTTTCTCATTTTTATACAAATTACATATTAAAAATGTCATAACTGAACCTCTGTACATCAGATTTATTCATAAAATATACCGTTGGATTCGTCTCTTCAAGACCTATTCATAAAAGTCAATCTTAAAAAAATCATTGACTCCAAAAATTCCTTCATTTTTGGTCAAACATAGAAATAATACTTTGTTTACTCAAAATATTGTTTCTAAAAATATTTTTATAATAGAATAACTTTTAGACCATGTTTTGGGGCATTACATCAACACTTTGTCTCGTTCACGGCGGTTTGGCATTATCAAAACCTGTCTTAAAAACGAACACGGCTTTAGTACGATAAAGCGATAAACCCGTGTTTCAACAGTAGGGGGTACCGTCTTGTTTCGTCTTAATCCAATATTGTTTTTATTTCCAATTTTGAAAAATGACCCAACCAAAATAATATTTAAAACTTTTGGAAAATATTTTTTAAGTGCAAGGGCATAAGTGTAACATCATTTTATCAAGCTCTTACATTTTTCAAATCTAATCTCAAGTTAATCAATTCTTGGTGAAATTAACCAAGTTAGGAGAGGTTCGGGTGTCTCGTTTAAGCTTGCAAAAAGTTAGTACTTTGGAAGACTTATTTGGCACATCAAAACATGGTGAGTTTCGGCATTCAAGGCCAACAATTACTAATTAAAAGATGACATTAAATTGGTTAAATCTTAATTCTGAATCCTAACCCATGTACAATTACTAATTCATAAGCTTAAATATAACATTCAACATCATCATAATAATAAATATAATTCTCAAAGGGATATCATCCAATAATAAATTTCAAAGAAAGAAAATAATATTTATTTAATAAAAATTCAATAAGGATTACAAACAAGAGATAGATGAACTTATAGTGCTCCCAAAACTGAGAAATTGACTCTTGATGAAGAAATTTAAGCACCAAAATGTTAATACAATATTTTGGAATAAAACGAGAGGAATTCTGGCTCTAAAAGGAGAACAATCGTAAGAGAAAAGCATGGGAAAGAATGGGACATTGCAGGGCTTTTATACAGGAAGAATTTCCGTCAGGCGAGTAGGCCGGCGGCCGTAGGTCAGCCAGCCGCCGCTGTCGAGAAACTTCGTGAAAACGTGGATCAGTCAATGCCGTCGTCCACAGGCGGGAGGCAGGCGCCCGCCTGCCAGCCCGTCGGTGCCTTCCAAGAATGTCTTCGCCGCTGCTCGTTTTCAGGAGAGCGCTGCCGCCTTCCGACCGACGGCAAGGCAGGCGGCCGCCTGCCTGTTGCGCCGCTCTGGTCTGTCAATGGTATCCTGCTTAAAATCTTGTTCTGAATACTTTTTCCTTCTGCACCGACTTCTAATTCCGCAATGTTTGTGAGATAGAATTATTTTTCTATTCAAAATTAACTCTTTTTGTTCTATTCTTGGCACAATTTTTGTATGTTAATTCAAAACTATTTTTTTAGAGTAAATTCCATAAACGGTCCCTAGTTATAAGTCGTTTTACATATTTAGTCCATACATATCAAATATTACGTACTAAATTAGTCCCTAATTATTATATTCATTTCTACGAATGGTCCTTTGTTAACATTTCCGTTAAAAATGTGGATAAAAGTGTAAATTCACACTCATCTCTCTCCTCAATTAAGCTTCATCCCTCCTCTCATACTCTTTCTCAAACTCATCGTTGAGTTTGAAGCTCTAAACCCAAAACTGAAATGATCATTCCTCTCTCAATTATTAGTCTTCCTGGTGGAACCTAAAAGAAAAACAAAATAAGCTTTATGGATGAGTTTTATCAGTTAGTTTCAAGAAATTGCAAAGAAAATAAACATTAAAACTCATCCATGAAGGTTACTCGTTTCGAATTTGGGTTCCACCAGTTAGACAAACAATTGAGAGAAGAGTGATGATTTTGGTTTTGGGTTCAAAGCTTCAAACTCAACGACGGGTTTGGGAAAGGAGTGCGAGAGGAGGGAGGAAGTTTAATTGAGGAGAGAAAAGAGTGTGAATTTACAATTTTATCCACGTTCTTAACAGAAATGTTAACAAAGGACCATTTGTGGAAATAAATATAATAATTGGGGACTAAATTAGTAATATTTTATATGTATGGACTAAATATGTAAAACGACTTATAACTCGGGACCTTTTATGGAATTTACTCTTTTTTTATGATCAAATTATCAAAACATATTATTTTGAAGAAAAAGAATAAAAAAAATTATTAATTTGATAATTAAAATGGTACAAGAACGTATTGAATATGAGTAAAAATATAAGTATGAAACGGACTTATCAGGGATGATGGTCAGACCTTCGCCACCGGTGGCGAAATGCACATCCTCCTCTTCCTCTGGAAAAGTACACCGGCGATGTGTTAGGATCGAATCAAGAACACTCACAATCAATCCGATGAAGAAGGTGAAGAAAAAACGAGAGAGTAAAAGAAGAGAGAGAAAGTGAAACACGTGAAATAACGTGGTAACACCCCGTGAGTAAACTTCCACGGCGGCCTAGATGTGTTTATTGATGATTTCAGGCACATACAATTACAGAGAATTTGTCTCTTGCCTCTCTACAAAAAATTAGCTACAAAGGAGAATATATATAGGCATTACAACCTCTACTTACTTAACCATTAAGAAAACTTAGTCATTAAGCAAACTTAGCCATTAAGTAAACTTAACCATTAAGAAAGCTTAGCCATTAAGTAAACTTAACTATTAAGCAAACTTAACCATTAAGCAAACTTAATCATTAAGCATCAGGCTCCATATGTAACACCCCAAAAATAGGCCTATCAGAGTTAATTAATTTATAATTAATTAATTACTGAGAAGGACCCAAAAATAAATAAATTCTAAAGTTTGTCAATAAATAATGAAAATCATATCATTATGTAGAGTTTGACTGTCTGACCCCAACGGTGCAAACAGATTTCAATTCGGAGAAAGTTGGACCAAAAAGTGTTCCCCAACTGAGACCAAATTAGTCCCAATCAGGGACTTACGTTTGCAGCCCGTAGAAATCGCCGCTCCCTCCACTGAGACGCCACAACAGTAGCAGAGGGAGTCATCAACCATGTCTTCATTCCATTACTCCCTCCTATTTAAACCCCTCCAAACTTCACCATTTCTTCACCATTTTCCTTCAAATAAACTCTGAGAGAAAGCTGTGAGTGTGGAGAACGAAGTTGTGCTGTCAATTTGGTGTGAAGTCGCCGGAGCAAGCTACAATCCTCGCCGGAAGTTTCACCGGAAAATTTCTAAAACCTTCAATAAGCTTCGAGGTAAGCCCGTAGATATATCTAATGACTAGAATGTTCAT